CGTTCGAGCTTACCGCGGGAATTCCCCGTGAATAAAATGGAGACCATGGGGCGATAAATTGATATTGTCGAAAAGGAAATAGTAATTCTGCCGGGGGGAATTGTTGTACGGAATTTCTGTTGAGGCGCGGAGTGAAATCGCGGAGGTGGATGAATGTTGATCGATTTTATATATATATATACATGTACGCAGGGTACGATGATTTAATCTGATGAACGGCTGTACAGGTCACCGGTAACAAACGATGTTTATCAGCTGCAAAAGTTTCATTAAAGGGGAAGATCGTATCCGGTAATTCGATGTTGAGGCAAATTGGACGAGACAAGGAACAGGATTATCAGGTATTTAGCTCAATCGGTGTTTTCTTTTCGCGGAATATTACGGGAAATGTGAAATGGAAAATTTGATTTGTTCGACGTGTGTTAGGTAGCGAGTGTATGGATTTCTGTTGCGATATGTAACGAATTCTAATTTGCGAAGTGTTTGATGGGACTGTGGGTGATTTTTTGGAATTTTTGGATTGTGGTTTTGGGAAGAGGGAATCTTTAGGCGTTGGAAATGTATTTTGCTTCGAAATACGTTAAGAATTCGCAATTTCTTGAATACAAATTTTTAAGTTTTTTATTTCGAGTGAATTTTGTAGTGAACGAATTCTCAGTATTTTCATTGAAAATGAATTCTCAATTTTTATTAGAAATTAATTCTTGGTTTTTATTGCAAATGAATTTTAACTCATTGTACAATATACTCTGCATACTTTGACATAAAATATGTATGGAAAGTTAGTGGCTAGTTCCAGTTGATAATTAGTTATTCAATTCTCGGTAATTTTACGCGATGTTAAGCTGGCAATTTTTAATTACAAAAACATCGAATATTGGAAATTTCTTCGAATACTGACAAATTTCATTTCTGTCTCTTCGTGAATTCGATCGACCAAATATACTCCGAATTTGTTTCTAGGACCACCCTTCGTTACACAATCGAGTTTTTAGCATTCTCTTCTGAAAATTGCTCTGCTAATCTTCAAATTCAGCTGAAGACAGTTAGGAAATTAAGAAGCTTCCTGTCAGTCCTACGTATAATTCAAACATTCCATAAATGTAATAAAGTTTCTCAAAGTGCTGAAGCTTTCACAAGTGAGAAAAATACAGAAATACTTTTTAATTGTCATTTGTTAGCCCCAAGCAGAAAAAAAATTCAGCACTAACACGGTTCGAATTTAATTGTTACCCAATTTTCGAAGGAACTACAATTATTTCAGAAAAACGTTCAACAGTGCATAATTCTCGCGCGCGTGTACACTGGTATTTAAATGCTGAATGGTTCAAAATCCGAACAAACACTGTGAAATATATTAACTCTCTCACTTACTCACTCACTCGTTTCCTCCCTCACCCTCTTACGTGTCGAACAAAACACACACGCAAAATCCAGATAAACGTAAAATTACTTTCGCAGTTTATCCTTCACTTACGCAGCCTGTTGAACTCGAAAGAGTAACAAGAAAAGCAAACCTCTCTTTTTAGATTAACGTAACAACCACGCTAACAGCATTCGCAGCGGCGTTTTGTCTCTATTATTAAACAGCGGTCCGTTTCTGAAAGCAAAGAAAGAAATTTCTGAAAGAAATTTCCAGCGGTAGCTGAACGGGACAAAGCACGTTTCTCTCTCGCGCGCGCTCTTTCTCGTACATTTTCTTTTTTTTCGTTTCTTTTTTTTTCCAAACTAGTTTCACGTTATGAAGCACCGAAATGGTGTCAGCGGCGTGCGTAACAATACGTCTGCGCGATGGCTGGCCCAGATTTACGCGGACGTAAGGAATTCTCGGGCGTACAGTGGACATCGTGCGGATACCAGTTATGAAATTTTTCTCCCCTGCACAAACAACCGATGGATTTAATGTTTAGCACCACTCGCGGCAATATGTCGCGGAGTTGATACAATTTACGAACGAATTCGCGAGATTTGGTAATACGTTGGAGGAATATTACACCTCTGCGGATGTAAACTGAGAAAATGTGTACGATGGTACGAATCGTGAGTTTATTGGAAAATCACAGTTGGTCAATGTGCGTTCCTTTTTAGAAACTGAATTTAAAGTTTGCGTTCAAGTGTGCACTTGGCTTTTAGATTAAATTGTAAAGTAATAACAGTAATAAGTATCATTAATAAATATAATAAAAATTATTATAGGTAACAGTAATAGTGGAAAAATTGGTTATCTCTTCTCTTAGGAATTAGCGTGTGGTTACCTGTATGTAAATTGGTAATTTTGATGTTTTTTCATTATAAAGTAAAAACGAGGATTTTTTAAGTTATTGTGTAATGTGTAAATTTTTTGAAATAGACAGAAGGCGATACTAATTTTGTTTTGTAGTATATTGTAGTTTACTGTAGTCGGAAAGTTAGAAAGTGAAGAGATTTTTGGGATAAAGTAAAAATTTCCAATAACACATTTTCCACTGATTAAAATTTTGGTGTGTTTTGCAAATTTACTATCTCTAAGTAAAATAACTTGCAGCCCTAATCTTTAATTCTACAAAATAGCGAATAATTCACTCTTCCCTAATTAATATCTCCAATTAAGTAAAACAACTTGCATCCCTATTCTTTAATTCTACAAAATAACAAATAATTCACTTTCTCATAGTTAATAGCTTTGTTAAAGTATTTCGTTGGTACAATTTAACACAACTGCGATACATTGTTACTTTCCATTTTATTAGGTCTACACAAAAGTTTCCATCGCTTATCAGTCGATGATACTGAATGGCACTGCATGCTTCTTCCTTATTTAAATTTTCGCTTTAATACTAATATTGTCTCATTAACATTCCTGTGCACAAATAATTATAAACATAACAAAAAAATAAATGCATATTCTTAAAAAAAGTACAATAGAAACTTTCACATAGAGGTAATATATTCTTTTTAATCCGCATGTGCTTAATACAGAATTTCACTTCTCTAGACCTCAATACGCAGCACGAATACGTGTTACAAAACCATAGATTTGCGAAGGGTACGTGGAAATTAGTTGCAATGTTCTTAAAGACAGATTATAGTAGACCGAACGGTCCGAACATCGGGGAAGTCCCTTGCGGTTGGCAAAGTTCAGTCTACTGAGAATAACTACCTTGCTCTTCGGGAGAAAGTGTGTTAAAGACTCGGCAAACGGATGGCACAATGACCAAAAACCGTGTCAAGTGGTATTTAGCACTTTGAATGACTAATGACCAACATGTTTAATGATGCATTGCAATCAATACGTTGCTAGGTTTCGACGAGAGTGTAGACACTTCGAAAATCCAGGGGAAAAACGATCGTAATCTGTCCAAATCGAAATCGAAATTTCAGCATCATGTATTAGAGCTTAATCCCTAAAGTTTAAAATTGTCATATAAGGAGTCAGACTCGTGGCAGAGATTCTTTCAAGATGTGATAAAAACAGTCACGTGGGTAACAGAAATTAATTTTAATTAGAATTTTTGAATTAATTTATAAAACTGAAGATTACCAAATGTAACCCTTTCGTTGCTATCGTTGTCGAATCTGATCTTCACTCTTATCCGAAGAAGAATTCATTTTCTATGGAAAAATGATGTTTTTCTTATTAAAATAAAATTTGATCAAAATCTGGACTAAAATTTGTGAATTTACTTTTTGAGAACATTTTATGTTCTTAAAAAGATTCAGAAACCCATTTTGTATTGTGTACAGAAATTTACAAATTTTACTTTTTGTACAGCGTCAGTTGTGAAACAAGGAAACAACGAAATATTTCCCTATTCCGACGTACATATATGTATTTAGTTCATCTTAGCACTTATGCAGTATTTAGTAACTAATTAACATCAGGTATAAAACTTGTGTAAAGTAACCGATTTTCGATGATTTTTATTGATTCGTAATTTATTTATATTTATCTTCTTATTAACAAAATATTAGGAGAATTTACGTGTCGAATGCATTTCCTATAAGAATGAAGCAAACGAGACCTGTGTCAAAATTGAGTTCACCGTAGCTGAGTTTGAATAATCTACCTTGGTAATATTCTTTTTTTTCTAGCACACCACGAATCGAAGACGTAGGCATAAAATGTTTTCCCTCCCGAAAATCACAAATATACACAGACTAAAAATAAACTCGCCATTAGGGGAGACGCTGCACCATTTTATCCACCCCGTCTATCAATTGGTCACTCCCTACTATGTTTCGTATTATTTGAAATATGAGACTGCCAAGTCATCCGCTCTGACGATAAAATACAAATCACGATGTTCCACTTTTATTACTGCGAGCAATAATCGTGACATGAAATTTGTGTCTAAAAAGCAGAACGCTGGGTGATTCCTTGTAGAAAAGAAAAAAAAACTATATTCTTCGAAAATCGTATTCTGAATAAATTTCAATTTTTCAAATAAAATTGAGGAATATTGCGGTGATAAAACAGTTACTTGAAGTTCAGTCGTTGATATTTCCCAATATTACAATTGTAAATGAACGAAATAACGTGTAAAATAATTTTTAATTTTTTGATATTATTAATATTACAATTTTGAAAATGTTTCACGCCAAATATTTATGCATAATATACTCGACGTTACTTATGCTATGTCGATTCGATAAATTATAAAAATTCACAATTGAACGTAAAATGTAATCAGACAATTCTGAAGATTGAAATTTGCCAAATTTTCTTGCAGATATCAGCCTTTACTTACATCTATGTACAAAATAATGTTTCATTATCCCCTTCCCTTTTAATCACATTCACCCCACTTCTCTACCGAAAAACTGAAAACATTTGCATATTCACAGCTTCGATCACACAAGATTTCCACACTATGCGTACAATTCCATTCATCCCTCGAGAGTCTTTCTAACATCCTACGCATAATTAAATATACATGTTCAACACTCTACACAACTACACGCTACGCGAACACTCTCGCGTCTCGTTATTACCTAGCCTTACGAGAAGAAAATTCATTTACCTTAGCATCCCGACTCTTCATCTCCTGTCTTCTGGGTACCGTATTCTCTCCGTCGGCGTACACGAGATTCCTGATGTATCCGTTGAATCTTGGCTCGAAAATCACGCTCGGTAGCGCCAGTAACGTAAGCTTGCTGTTGTACCAGCTAGGCATACCGCCCACGTACACGTCAGAATTTCCTACCAATTTCCCGAACTCGAATTCCTTGCCCCGTGACATCGAGACAGCGCTAACACCGTCCACCGTTAACGTGGTGTTCTCGTTACACCTGGTGATCTGCACTTTGTGCCAGTGACCGTCGCCCAGGTCGTGGCCTACAGTTACGATCTGCACACCACCGCCTAGATTGTATATCAGTCTGAGCGCACTCTCGACCAGTTTCACCTCGAAAAAGTCGTAGGTTCCACCGTCGTCGGTGTAAAGCAACAAACCGTTCCCCTGTTCGGTCTTGAACTCGAACTCGAGCGTGCCGTTCAGACCGGCGTTCCATTTTCGAAATTGAGCATAACTGGTCGTCGAACCCTCCAACACGAACGACAATGCTATCTGGCTGAGTAGAACTACCAAGAACGGCAGAAATGCGCCTACGTTGCTGGTCGCAAGAGAGAAATGCATGGTTGGCGTCGTAAGCTTGGATCACTGCTAAATCCTGTTCATCAGATTCTTCCGGTAACCGCGGAATTTTTCACCTAACCTCGGGGACACTTTGTTTTCGAACAGTCGATTAGGGCTAGGGTTCCACGCTTCCTTGTCACATCACACTGAACAAACGGGATGCTTCTGGGTATGGAGATCAGCAGGTGTGTAACATTCGGTTACACTAGGATCGTAAGGTTGTCGGGTTCGATTGATGGCACAATGGTCGATTAGCGTAGCTCCGTTCGATGTGTACTTGTTCCCTAGCCACGTTGTACCGGTTGTATTCGCACGTGAGCACGCACGCGCGGAAGGTCTTCGCTCCGTGCGTGGGCTACGGATATGAAAAGAGAGAGTGACTGTGCACACGTCCGTGTAAGATCGCCAGGCAAGTCCTTCTGCCTTTCAGGATTGTATATCTTGTTTATTTCTTCCTTCTGACTGTAGATTTTTCCAGTCGCACGACACGTGCGACGAGCGATTAATTAGTAGTTGAGGATAGAGAGAGAGAGAAAGGACGAAAGAATTTGTTTCTTTTTCTTTATCTAAAGAAGAACTTGAAGAGTTCTGTGTATTAAGAGCGAAGTCTAAGTTGAATTTGATCGAAGGAATTGATAGAGGAGCTAAGCGAAGTTAGAGAAGATTTCGGTTCTCTTTACAGAAGAGTAACAGAGATGTGTATTCGATCTAATATTTGACCTCGCTGATTAAAGAGTGAAATTCGATAGATAGAGGAATTCTCGACGGCACGTGACACGCTAGGAGCACACGTTCCCACCAGATTCTTCCCTTAACGCACGTACACACGCTCGGGTTACACTGAAATCCGGTGTAATCAACCAAATGCTGATTTATGAGAGTATCACTTCACGATCACGTTAAGCACAATTCGATCCTAACGTATCTTTTCCGGCCACTGGTATGTGCGCGAATCGGCACTAGATTGCGCTTAATGAATTCACTTTCCAGTAATCAGATCAATGAAACCTTGTTAGCAAGACTTTGGCCTGCTGAATCGACGTGCAGTCGGTATTTTCTCATCGAGATCATGTTCGGTATGTGATCGAGCTCTGAAATATTATTCCCAGAGTGTACGAGATTTTTCTTTCCGTTCGTTCCTCGCCTGTACTCGTTACATCGCCTTCCTCCAGTTATCTTCCAACGGATATATCGGTGACATGGAGTGAAATAAAATTGTTATCCTCGATCGTTCCGATGCCAATTCAATTTGACATTTCCCAGAGTGTTATCGACCTTCGCTAAAAAATTTCACTAATTTCAATCATCTTACCGGATGATTACTGTGCTTCAGTTACCTCGTCGAGTGTCTCACTTCACCCCCGGAGGAAAGAATTTTAATTTGATGATAATTAACTCGAACCTTTCCAGCGGGTTTGTTATTTTATCGTCGCTTCGCACCAAGGGACTCTAGCAGCGACCTAACCTAAGGCACCTCGAGGCGCCTCGTACCACGTCGGTGACACACTTTCTCCGTCTGTCCTCTCGACGTCGTCGTCTCTTCAAGCACCCCTCAACCTCCACTTGGTCGATTCCTGGTGTCACTTCTTTCTTTCTTCTCGTACGGTCACCCTCCTATGGTGATCTCGAAAGAGAGTCGCCAATTACGGCGTAGCTCAATTTCCTCAGGGTCACGAGAATTTGCACGGCTGAAGAGGAATCATTCGACCTCGAATAGCGACACTCATGTGTCGAACATTCCTCGAAATGTCGCCGTACCTGACTCGATACGTGACACGACCTCGACCTCCTAATACACAGTGACACGAGCACTTTCACCACGCACCCTACGCAATAGTAGTAAACCTGTCACGATCATTCGAAAACGCTTGACATGCTCTAGTTCCACCGAACTTTATTTCATCCACACTGTCATGCAACTTCTATATATATGTGTGTGTAATTCTTGATCGTGTGTCCTGTGTTTTCTATCCTCGTTGGAGAACACAGACGTGTTACGGAGAAACTCTCGAACGTATCCTGATATCGAGCACCCTCGCGACGACCCACTGCACACTATGGCGCGAGTATACTTTCGTGGACAAAACACAAGGCAGCACAGGACAATTGTTCGCGTCACCTGTACGTTTCGTTCGTTTCCCACTCTCTCGAGAGAGGTTACTCCACGTCGACGTCCATCCAGCGTACGTTTATTTCGCGATCGATCCGGCTCTCGTGGCTCAGCGTACGCCCCATTTTTCTCATCCAACCCGTGAGTTCTGCTGGTAACCACACTCTCTGCACCTGAACGAGAACAGCAGAGCTATCACGGAACACCTGCGCAACACTCCGTATCGTACCAGGCTCTTGTTAACGTCGTCGTGGTTCTGTGCCTGGTGTGCGTGTGTGTGTGCGTGTGTGTGGTCCAGTAGTACCTCTGGTCAGATATGTACGTGGTAAGAGCGTAGCATGAGCGCCGATTGCGGAGGTGGATCAACCCTCTCGACGGCTCCCGGCTTGATACTGGCCTAGCGAAAGGAGAACGCTCAGTTGAAACGGTCGGTCGGTTGGCCGACGACGTTGCTGCGACGCCCCCGGCACGACGCCGACGCCTCGCGCCGTTTCGACGCGCAAGCGCCCGCTTAGACGCGGAACGAACAAACGCGCAAAAAGGACCGAGAGAGAGATCGTTGATGGTTGAACAGTTTGGTTGGAGTAGGACAGTGCGTTTCGAAGATGTGGTGGAGAGGATTCCTCCTCGTCTCGTAGTCTGTCTGTTCAGGGTATACGCGAAGTAGATGGTGGGCATGTGGTGGTGGTGGCGTATAGTCGCGAGATTGCTCACGGCTCCCTTGGAGCGTCCGCGGCAGAGGGAAACCCTGCTGGCGGCGAGATGCTCGGGTTGAAAAATTGCTGGGTGGAACCAATGATCGAGAGAAGCGTTTGTTGCTTCGCATGCGTCCGCTTTGCGGTTCGACTGGCCGCTTTTCTGTATTACGACGGCCTGCCGTGCGGGTCAGGTTTCTTCTGTTTTCGTTTCTCCCGCACTAGAGAAATAAACATCCGCCGCGGTTAATCGACTTGTACGCTGCTCTGTTCGTAAGTATTGGGACAAGTGGTGTGTTCGGGTAGAAGATGATACATTTCTTCGGGGAAGTTAGTATCATATCGTCAGAGTTGGGCATAATGTTATTTGTAAGTCTATTTTATCTTAACCCTTTGACATTCTAATGAAATTATGAATGACGGTAAAAATAGATTTGTTTTACACGTGTCTTTTTAATAGATACGCCGTGAGTGATCAGTTTTAAAACACGGGATATGTAAGCCTACGTCATAGTTAGGATAAAAATATCTCGTCCCTTTCGAACTTTTTCCATAAGAGTCTCTCTCGAGTTAAGCAGTTAGATATTTGACGCTCTGCACGAGTCTCACATGGGATAAACTGTGGAAGGGTTAAATCGTGCGTATGACTATGAAAATAAAAAGTTCATTTGTTGCAATGACTTTTCAAAATAGTATTTTATTTGAAGGATATAGAAAATAGTCTTTATTTTGAAATATTTTACTTATTTTCAGTTTATTCGTAATTAAAAAATATTTTATTTGCCGAAATTTTGCTTTTTATTTGAAATAGCATTTTATCTGAAGCGTATAGCACCTATTATTTAAAATAGTATTTAAATTGTTTTATTTTAAA